CCCCCCCTTCGTTTCTAGAGAGGTGCCTGAAGGGTAGGAAATTTGCGCAACAAAAACCCTGTATGTAGGTTTCACAAATAATTTGACTCCCCCCCCCCCATCTCCAAAATAGCTGTACACCGGAACCGGAGTGCCACAAGGGCTAGACGGAAACAGAGGGAGGGAGACAAGGCGAGAGAAGCCCCAACCCCAGCGGATTACATGTGTAATCTCTACATATCCGCTCACAGCAGCAGCAAACATCCCTCCCCTCCCGCACGCGCCATGAGACGTAAGAGGGCGAGGGGAATAACGGGCCGACGAGTGCCATAGCAAGTGCCGTGAAGCCGCATGAGTTTGCAGCCGAGAAAAATATCGTTGCCTATATATGACATTTTTGACAATGTCTATCGACTCGGGTGTATCAGAGACTATACATCATCGAAGCGTGTTTGCCAACTACTTCCAGAAGGCGTCATGGCCTTGCAGCCTGTAAGAGTACTCAACCTAAATCCACAACATTCAGGTCAACAGTGTTTTTTGTAAAGGTATTGATTATTGCCATTTATTGGCGATGATCAATACCTTTTGTGGCGATAAAGCGCCTTTTTGGCAATGGACGGCGCAAGGCAATGTCAATTGTCAATGAGTCGGTCATTGCTATTCCAAAGGCAGTATCCATTGCCAATTTTGGCAATGGTCAGAGAAAAATTTAAAATTTTTGGCGATGAACCTTCAATGCCAATATTTTGGCGATGACCCTTCACTGCCGAAAGTTCGGCAGTGTTCAAACTGCTACTAACGAAGGAGGACTTTGAAAAATTATTTCCGCTCATTGCCAAAATTGGCACTGCAATGCCTTTGAAATGGCAATGACCGACTCACTTTTGTCTTATTGCCATTGGCTTGGCATTGCCAGAAAGGTAGTACTAACTGTCATTGCCTTTGGAGACACAGTCAATGTATTTTCTGATAAATTTGGAGCATTTACGAAAAGATATCGTGAACTTATGATAGTGAATTCACTTGTAAAACAAGTGTGCACAATTTTCACAACAACGTGTGCAAGTTGTGATTTGACTCATTACATGGTGTTTAACTCAAGTTGCGTACTTGCGTGGTCTGCACATTTTAGACGTTTTGTAAACGTTTAAATTCTGCACGTTTCTATTCTATCAATAGGAACCATATACCGTGTGCAGCTGCTTTACTTGTAGGAAATGTCGAAAGTTTGAACACCAATTGACGTATAACATAGTTAGACACCACAATGTGTCTAGTAAATGCACACTTGAACTTAGACTTTAATTGACTTGAAAAATTAAACACTTGTTTTACCAGTGTTGTTAATGCTCGTCGAATAAAAAAAAAGGGGTGTATATTTTTTGTCCCACCTGTCTTTTGTCCCACCTATTTTAAAATACTATATTTTTAAATAGGTGGGACAAAAGACAGGTGGGACAAATAAATCCCACCCAAAAAAAGCCAACTAATATTTTTACAATGGCCTCATACAAACACCTTAGAATGCAGGTATTTGTAATCAAGTGGATTTTCTCAAAACAACTCTACGCACTCAGTTTTAATCAAGTGCAAACACTCTGTTTCAAGAAAGCGCACTTGATTTCAAGTACCTGCTTTTGGGGTGAAGTACAAGTACAAAGTACACACAGGAAGCACCATTCAAGACGGAGATCCAACGGTCCCGATGCGGGAGGCTAGGTTGTTGGGCAAAGTTGGGCAAAGTTCTCCATCTTGCTTTTTCGACTCGAGCAAAACTGAGATGAGTCAAGAAAAAAACAGTTGCTTAGCCCACAGCATTCACACAGTTAAAGTCTTACGAAGCAAAATGCCAAATGCTTCGTACCTACGAAGGATTTTCTCCTTACGAAGCGTCCAAATCCTTCGTATTACAAAGAATTTGGCATTTTTCTTCGTAAGACTTTAACAGTGCAAACTATATGTAAAGGTTTTTTTCTTTGGTACTATTTTTCACGTTTGGTGACCTCTACAGTTACATGGTAGTGAGGGCCGTCAATTCAAAATACAGGAAGCACTACTCATTTTAGAAAAATTAGTGAAACTTACCTTGAAAATAACTTTTGGTCCGGAGGTAAGAGACAGAGAGCCTTAGGATAGAGAGCCTGTCCAGTTTGGAGAGGATGTTCTGTTCGAAAGGAAGGAGGTTGGCTAGCGTATCCAGCTCTGCGTTGAGCCGTTCTCTGTGCCTCTTGCTGGGGTTGCTCTTGGTTACTCCATCCTTTGGTGGGGGTTTCAAACTGCAACGGAGAAAATCAAGATAGTGTTATGAAAATCGACACCAGACTTGCACGAGGCTGCAAATAATCATAGCATCTCCAAGTCCAATCTGTATGTTTTCTTCTGAAACATACGTACCAACGCCACTGCCAATCAAGTTCTCGAATACAATACATTGCATTGCCCAAATATAAATGCCTTTGCAACCACCAGAATATGTTGTGCCCTTTTTCTACTTTCACGTATTTATGTAAATGTTCCTAATTTATGAATTGGTATTCCTGGGTGTTCATCTACACAGAAAGACAAGCACAGGAGCGCATTCACAAATCCCAATACAAACTGCCTCAGGAGATCACTGACCCGAGCATCTCCTCTGTCTATTATACTGTTAAAAATATTGTCAAATTACCACACTCTTCGAAATGACTGGTTTGTTAAAAAACAACATCATTTGTTTTCATTGACACTACGTGGCAAAATTCCTTCTCTTTTGCCCGTAGTGGTCCATAACAATGATTCATGCTTTTAACCATGTTAACACTACAACAAAACCGTTGTAAATTTTGATAGCAAGACGTATCGTTACAAAACGAACAAGTTTGTACAAAATTTCGGTGAAGGCGGAAGTAAATAACCACTGTTTTGAAATGAAAATTCGTTTCAGAAAATCTTGTGAACGTTGTTAGATTACAACATGTGTTCTTTTTTAACAACATTTGTTGCTATCAAACTTTACATCAAATGTGTTGTAAATTTACAACAATTTTTTTAACAATGTAGTCACAAGGCTCAAAATGCATTCGCCGAAAGAAACCCTTCACGTCCCCACTTTTGTATTTTAATAATAATTCCATAGCCAGGGCAGCCAGTTTGATTGTCAAAGGAGATTAAATCCTGCTTGAGCCTAATCCACATCATCCATACAACTTAAAGGAAGCTATTAATCATTCAAAAACAAACTATAATGCGTGCCCTTTTAGCTGGATTATACCAGAGTTATTTTTTTTCCTTTTTAAGGGTACCTTTCAATTCCAATCAAGTTTTGTTAACATTTAATGTATTTTTCTAATGAAAGTGGTATCTGTTGGACTCCTTAAAAAGCAGAGAGGAAAACAACTTTTATACTCTCGTGAGCATGGAATTCTGTGGTAGAACAATTGGAGCCAGGAAAGAAGAGAGACCACATCACAAACACAGTGGTGGAGCCAAGAGGCGTCACTAGCTGCCAGAGCACGTCAGCAGGCGGGATGAGACGAGCTGTTAGCGCCCTTCCAGTCAAACCAAGACTACCAGGCAGGTAACATTCGGATTGTTTAGGCTGGAGAAAATAACGTATATACACACAGAAAAGTTAAGATTGTCACAGTTTACAGCTTCACTACACTTCCTCTGCTCGGTGGATTATTCAACACTAATAGCAAGCAACGAATATGAGAATGTAACAGATATCGATCAAATTTGACTTTTTCGCATCGATTTCTATATTTGCGCATTTAAGACTGAACAATCGAAACTTTACTGAGAATTTTACCATTACAACAAAACACACTCGAGAGACATCTCTATCGGTATATATTTATTGATTTACTATTTCAACTAACGAGACTACTTCACACAAACACAATACCACAGAGTCAATGAAATTAAGGCCAAGGGTCTGTGCTGTATTAGGTCTGTGCTATCCGCTCCGGCGACCTCAGCGCTTCGCGGCGCTACGCGTTGGAGAGTGACTAGTGACACCTGATAGGCGCTGCTGCCTTTAATAACAGCTTTTAATACTTTTAATTACACGGCAGGTACGGAGGTCCCGCCATTACCATGTCCCGCAGGGGTGGTGGCGTTGGAGGGAGTAGTTAGTTGTTGTTTTTGTTTTTATTGCATTTTTTGTTTTTATTACTTTTTGTTCTTTTTCTGCGGAGACCGCCCGTGTTTTACCGATGGCACGTGATCAAAGCAGCCATATTGTGTCAATAGTGATAACGAGATCCTATTCTGAAGTACACAATCGAAGCCATCCGAAGCAATTATTTGTAATTGCGAAGCAATCGTAAGCGTACGAACTACTTTATTTGTCATTCAAGGAAATAGTTTGGAAACTAATTCATTCGTAGGGCCTTTCAGCGCCCGGTCACTGTAAAAAGTTTCGTCGTAAATTTACAATTTTTTTGTAAACTCGAACTATAATTTAAGTTGTAAATTTACGCGAGCACAGTTTTTACTCGCCAATGGATTTGAAGTCGATACGTACTGCATGTATTTTTACGATTCCAAACTGTAATTTTACATCTTGCGTCAAGGAAAATTTTCCAATAAACCTACCTACTATTTTTCACAGTGGTAACTTCGTGTGAGGAATTTTAACGATGGTATGTGAGCACTGGCGCGTTGAGCCAGAATTTGTGTAAGTTTAGACTACATATAAAGTAGCTCTGACTCACTGTGCTCGAACCCTTATGCAGACATGTGTGTTCAATTTCAGTTTTCCTTCTAAAACACACATTGCACACACAAGAACTACGTACGCCCAGAAAAATGAAAAGTTGTATGAACCATATACTGGTTCTTTCAGGGATAACCATAAAATATGGTTGAGACAACGATCTGCCAGTGGTGAAAACCGTATTTTTTGTTGATACACCCGTGCTGTTGTTGCCTGAACCATATTTTATGGTTGTCCCTGCAGTAACCATACGCTGGTAGTTACAACTTTTCATTCTTCTGGGTGTACAATATTTCAGGCGGCTAGTTTGCTTTCTCTATGGGGCGCGTGTGTGGTGCACTCATGAGACGCACGTTTCATTAGCCACTTCAGCAGCATCATATTCTACAGCAGTAGGTATATGTAAGTTGTGGAAGAGCCACGTCGCACGGCCGCAGCAGGGAAAAATAATAAAGCAGCAAAACAAAGCCGCCGTCTAACAGGCTGGCAGGGCAGAATCAGAGCATGTTCTGTTTATCGGAGCAAGGCCTCTCGCGACTGTCTCTCCCCCTCAGCTCGCTCCACGCCTCTCCACTGCAGCTCCTTGCTGCCGTGTTGGCTCCCGAAAGGGATGATTCCTCGTTCCGATCCTGATTGGAAAGCAGTACACTGGCAGTAAAACGCAAACAATGTTTGTAAGCAAATACACGGTGGACCCACCGATATGAAGTTGTAATAGAGCGGCGATGAGGATGCCGAGAGATATTGCCACGACAGCAGCAGCACACTGGAAAAACAAAGATGCTAAGGGGTACCTTTGCAGGGGTGCTTAAAATTATTTGAATGCACTGACTTTGAAAAGGCACGAGAGAGCCCCTAAGGGTGCCAAGAATTATTGCGTTGGGTATTTTAAACGTAACATAAGGTGTTTGACCCTTCAACTCGCTTCGAATTATTTATGTATTTTAACTGTGAGTTGTGCATATTAAAGCGTTGAACATATGCATGCGAAATGCGCTGAACCCTTAATATTGAAGGGTTGAGCACTTTGTTTTTCAGTGCACTCCTGACCTTGCAAAAAAGGACAAAAACTTACCCCTACCTTTAAAAGAGTACTCCTACAAGACTAGGGACACACTAGAAGCGTGGTACGTTTAGAACACTTAGGACAAAAATTGGTTCATAAAAAGTGATATCATACACATGGGCTAGACTGAAATGTGGCGACGAACCACAACACCACGAAGTGCAAGACCCCTTTTTGCTTTTGTGTTTTCAGAGAGTGTTCGCGACTATTACTTCGCAGCTACTGGGCGAGGCCGCTGCGCCGCCGCGATGATACACCTCTCTCCGATATGGACGGAATTTCAGGCAGAGGAGCTTGACGCTACCCGACACACCACGAGGAGTGTGGTAGCGAGGCACGGGTAGCAAGGTGTGGCGCGGCGCGGGGCGGCGCGGGGCGGCGCGGGGCCGACCCATTACCGTGTTAATGTGTTCTCGCTGTCCCGTCCCACGGCCCTGCTGGCCACTGGCGGTAAGGACCTGACGCCGTCTCACTCCCACTCGCTGCATGGCGACTCACTGCGAAAAGGGCTTCGGCGAACGGCAGCATGCCAAACCTGCCCGCCCGTCTCTCTCGTACCCGGTCTCTGACCCGGTCCTGTGCGAGAGGGAGAATGCATGCGACGGCGCGTTTATCCGGCCAGCCAGCAGCGAGAGGGAGGGGGTGTGACGCCCCGGTGTGACCGGGAGCAATCCCGATTGATGGAAATAACAGTCTTCGGGGCTACAGTGCGGGCAGTGTCACGTCTTTCAACAAATTTCCAGAACCATCTGCTGCTTCTGCGGAGCAAAATTATTATGTGGGTGACAGAAGAGTTGGTTTATCGTTCTGTTGCGCCCTACAAAATACGCGACGTATGAAAGCGAGAAACCGAGAACACAGCGTACATGGAAGTAAGCTCCGAAACGAAGTGCACAGTTCTGCACTATCTCCCCCCGCCCCGTCCACCAACCCCAACAATTAGACCCCTGGAACCAATAGACAAACACACACATCTACACAAAACCCAACCAGTACCGGGTAACACTCTGCATGATGCGAACGTAATAAAATAATGAATTTAACAAATCAATTATAAAAATAACGGTCAGAACAATTGAAACCACTAGCACCAACATCATCAACCACACCTGAACAACAATGTTGACGCTGAAGAGCGCGCGGCCGCGGCCACTGACTGGAAAACAGTGAGAGCTGCAACTCGAGAGTAATCAAACCTACCAGAGCAGTGAAAAAGTACATCGTGAAAAACAATTTAAGGGGGGAGGGGGGAATTGAAAAGGAAGCACAGCGAAAATAACAACTATTCTTGAAAATCACTTGTAAGGAAGAAAATCTACCTGAACGTGCGAAAGTAAACAGGACACGCTTACATGATAGCGGATTCAGAAGCGGGAGTGAGTTATAGATAGCGGAGAGCAGGATACGCAGCCGCAGTATCTTCCTCAGACACGTTCCCATGACATTTCCATTAGAGGTCCTTACAACGCGCGGTTAAGTGAAATAACTCTTTCAGAACTGTTGACAGCTGA